CTAATCCCGACCCAGGAACCGGTTCATGTTCCTCGTCGCAGAGCCCCGAGACGCGATAGTAGTGATTGACGGCGAGGGGAATAAACAATGATATCCCCACAGAAGAGGCTCGGGCCACGAAGCCTCCGATATAGCCCAGTCCAATGCTACGGTTTCGGAATCCCAGTGTAAGGGCGGTCGTCAACTGCTTCCAGTATGACAGTCTTGGGCCATGGATATATAGATCATCGTCGTCTTCGTTTTCATCATCTTCGTCATTACACGAGTGACGAGAGTTTTTCCACAGTGCGCTCCAACTTTTGCCCTTTTCTCCGGGAAGATCACGGAGACCAATGAAGCATACAAGGCAGATAATAAGGGATACGGCAGCAACCAGGTAATAGCTGCGTTGGATGGCCTGCGATGGCGACAATCCCATCTTCTCAAACCGGGCTGCAAGCGGCAGGAAAAGAACCAGTGCCACGAGCGCACCACAGCCAGCGCACATGCCAACAAAACCCGAGAGTCGCGCAGACGGTGAGGCCCTGGAAGGACCAACATCTATGGAATGACCATTCCTGACACGCTCCGGTGTGATGGTCAAGTCCGAAGACACAGATGCGCGATACTCCTGGGGATTAAAGGCTGTGCCGGTAACAGTCGGCAAAACTGCAGTGACCATGGTCGATACTGCTGAACCACCGATACTAAAAAGCAACCTTCCCAGGAGAAGCTGAGGATAGATATTTGTGGCTTGCACGAAAACGACTAGCGCGAGTGCTACAATAGCATAACCTGCGGTACATACCTAGCTAGCGTCAATATCGTTCAATTACACTGATGTGGGCCAGTAGCAAGCTTACATGGCGGACTCCGATCCGGTCCGAGAGAACCCCCCAAAGAGGGCAGGCAACCAGGGCCAGGAGTTCATCCGCGAATCCCAGTGTTCCCACTGCATCTCCCACTCCATTCTCCAGCCCAATCAGATCCGTCACGACGAAGGAGATGGAAGAATTGATATAGACTAGGAAGGCGATGGAGAAGGGGCACACCGCCAACAGGTAAGTTAGTGTCTGGCTGCGCGAGGCAGTAAACAATGCCGGTGATGAAGCCATCACCAGAAATGATTAATTGAGTGCAGGATTTAGAGATGATATCCCCCTTCGATGCAAACTGGCAGGGCAATGGTGTCACAATGGTTGCTTCTTCCAAGGCGGGCAATGTGGGACGTCACATGACGGAGATGATCAGATAAACACCGAAGATCGACGGATATGTCCCGACGTCTAAAGTAGGTCTAAGGGGTCGAATCCAAAAAAGTATACACTAGACTATACATGATTCACAAATATTATGCTTTACTAGAGTGAAATCGAATCTCGCCATGTATTAAGTAGGCTGGTATAGATCTGGGTGGCGGCACGTGCAGGTCGCTGACGTAAGACGCGGAGAGGCGTCCACGGGTTATTCTGGAAAGCTGTCCAGATCAAGCTACTTACACTTCCCAAGTAGACGGCGTTCACTTTGTTTTTCTGCCAAATGCTACCTTGAGACGCCCTTCTTTTTTGTTCCTTCCTTCGGTCCATGACCTTCGGCTTGTCCGATCCAGTCGATAGCCATGAGACTAGCCGCGTATGCTGGGGTAAGTAGTACCGCAGCCGGGGGAGACAACCCGCTAACCTTGGAACCCCGTTTGCAGGCCTCAGTGGTCCTAGCCACTGGTGTGGTTCTGAAAGCTCTTCATCAGAGATCCAATTTCTATTCGGCGTGCGTCTACCTTTCTCAGAGTAGTGCGAATCTTATGGTGAGTTGTCCAGTTTGGGTTATCGCGCTTGGTCATCATAGAACCTAACTCGTCACCCTATCTCCAGATCGTCACGAATCTATGCCTTCTCGTCACCGGCTTTATACTATTTTGGCTCCAGCGACTTCTCTACGGACCCTTACGACCAATCGAGACCGAGCAACTATACGAGCGGGCCTGGTTCGCCGTCACAGAGACATGTTTGGCCATGACCATCTTCCGAGGCGAACTTGGAGGCTGGTTTCTGGTCATGTTCATTTCGCTGCTGGTCGGCAAGGTCTGGGGCTGGATTGGCGAAGGCCGGGTTGAGTTCTTAGAACAACAGCCGCCGGCTAATCCCCGTTTGTTCCATACTCGGCTGGCGCTATCCCTCGTGCTGACTGTGTTGTTTGACTCTTTCATGTTGCGGTATTGTGTGCACACCGTAATTACGCAGGCACGTCCGGATATGATGGTGATGTTTGGATTCGAATTCGCCATCTTAGCGATCCTCTCGACCTCAACCCTCCTGCGATACGTTATCGCCTTGACCGAGATCTCCATCACCCGCCAGCAAATAAAGGCCAAGATGCAGGAACGTCGGGACGAGATCCGTGCTGCGCGTGTCGAGGCGATTCGAGAGCATGCCCGCGCGGGAGCTACCTCTCCTCCTGACAATCTGCCCGACGAAAACGATGTCAACGAAATGGAGATCGACGTCCCCGGGTGGGAGGAGAAGGGTCGTTGGGTCTTCTACTTGGATCTTCTGACCGATTTGTTGAAACTCGTGATTTACTTGAGCTTTTTTGGTATTCTGCTTACTTTCTATGGCCTCCCTATCCACATTCTGCGGGATGTTGTTGTGACCATCCGCTCATTCGCCCGTCGCATTATGGACTTCATGCGTTACCGAAATGCGACAAGGGACATGCACCAGATGTATCCGGATGCAACGGCAGAGGAAGTCTCCCGGGAAGATGTCTGCATTATCTGCCGTGAGGAAATGATTCCACTTCAGCCGGCGCAACCGCAACCGCAACCACAACCGGCGGCTCATGCTGCTGGAGAACCTGCACCACATCCGGCCGCTGGAACACAGCGTGTTCCTGACCGTCTGCGTCCAAAAAAGCTCCCATGTGGTCATATCTTGCACTTTTCTTGCCTCCGCAGCTGGCTCGAGAGGCAACAAAACTGCCCGACATGCCGACGTCCTGTTGTAACGACCCAGCGAACTCGTGGAGCTGCCGGAGTAGACAACACACGCGGAGGTCAGAATGGTGGCATCCAGCCAGGCCAACAAGGTGCAGACGCACAACCACGTGCTCGGGTCTATCAGTTCGGACCCTTCCGTATCGGCTTTGGAGCTGTGCGTGGAGATCTATTCAACAATCTTCACCCACAGGGTGTCCAAGGTAACGCGCCGCAACCTGGGGCACCCCCGCCCGCAAATGCGCCCGGAGGACAAATCGGGTTTGGATTTGGGTTCGGGCGCCGTCCTCAAGCCCCCACCCCCGCTCCCGCCCCACAAGCTGCGGCCCCGGGGGGTTCTGTCGCTGCTGAGATCAATGCTCAGTTGGTGCAGATCGAGCAACGGCTCAATCAAGAGATTGCCACTCTTCGAGCTGCCACGGAACATTTAAATCATGTGCGCCAGCTTCGGTTGGAACTAGAGCGGTTGCTTGCTCAAGCAAGGGCTGTTAACCAACAACAAGCTACTGGCCAACAAGCTGCTGGCCAACAAGGTGCGGGTCAACCAGGCCCTCCCAACCTAACTCCGGGATTAACCCCAGGATCTTCGGTCTTCTCAACGGGCCACCAGTATGGCGCAAACCCGGGTGCTGATGTTCTAAACTCCGGAGATCCTCGTCTACCGGAAGGGCTCACTCTTCCCCCTGGTTGGACCCTCCTCCCTCTCCAGCGTGTTGATAATGGTGCCGGTGTGGAACAAACAGTACAGCCCTCGCCTACCACTACCACTACAATGGCATCCCCAGCTGCGCCTGCTATGGCCAGTGCTGTAACTTCTCAAACCCCCACATTCCCTGGGCCTGTTCGGGATCAAACGAGCGTGAACATCGGGACCACCAATGCTGCAACCCCTCCCGTAAATGGGGCCCCTAGTCCACAGGTATTGCAACCGACGGCCACTGTCCCTTCGGTTGAACGTCGTGCAGAATCCCCGTCTCAAGAATGGACCGACATTGCCCCGAGAGGGTCCTTCGAGGCCAGGCCAACTTCCTCTATTCCTACCACATGGGGTAGCAATGGAGAATCTGCGAATAATAGTACTTCTGGTCAAGCCGAGACTCCCCGTGAGTCTACATCCAACGGCAAACGCCGGACCGCATCAGTTGAAGAAACGCCCGATGAAGGAGCTTGATCCCAAACTCCTCTTTTGATAACCCCCTCCCTGTGTATTTTTTCCCCGGTTCTTTACACCGTCTCTGCATGGCGTTGTTCGCGAGCAAAAGATCATACCCAGATTTCTTTTCACAATTTTTATACCACCCTTGAATCTCATGGTATTTGCTCTCAATGATTAACTTGGTCCAATGAAAATGTACATTCAATGAGTATAAAATTAGTGTATAAAGTTTGATTAGGAGAGTGCACGTAGAGCCGGGACGTCCACGGGTAGATCTGCCTATGACGTTCATGGGATCCATGGATGACTGAGACAGGCCGCGTGGCTGAATTCTTAGGATCAGCATGGGGATTCCCTTTTTGGTTAGACTATTGACTAGTGAATATGACGAATAATACTTTGTAAGATTGTTGCTTTCACCTTGATTGATATTTACTGTATTAATTATTGAATGATCTCTCATATACTCTGTATTCTACATGTGAGGTCCCTTGCAGCACACGACTATACCAGCGCGTGCGGCAATGAAAGAAGCTTCGGCATGGCGGCACAGTCCCCACTCCACTTGCATCTGATTTGTCCAAACACCTACAGCCTCCCGGGGTAGGGTGTCCCTGGTCCCTTGAATCTAGATCGGGATTCTTTTCCTTCAACCCCTTAGACGCTCGGGGCGAGGATATCCTAAAATATGTAAGGAATTATGTCCCCTCCGTTACTCAATTCCAATCCGTCTGCACTCCGTGCCTTGCGAACCCTCGCAGTACTCTCAGCCCTGTGCACGCGACACGGTGACATACAGTGTGACAATTGCAGCTAACCAGCACCTCGTGCGACAGATAATAATCCATTGTACGACTGTCCAACCCTCCGCCCATGCTTCTCCCACGGCGAGCGGTCATCTTCCTCGGCGTCTGCTTCTTCCTCGTCTTCCTCACATCCCGAAGCCTCTCACGACCATGGCGTGACGTACCCCAAGTCATCGGCCTGGGTGACCTGGTCTCCTCGTCCTACAACACAACAGGAGCCTGGAACACGACCCGCGGCCACACAAACAACGACCTCTATGCCCCGCCGCCGGACTTCATCCCAGGCACCCCTAAGCCCCCGGGCTACAAATACTCCAAAGTGCTGGTGGTGACCCGAACTAAGGGCGAAGACACCAAGTGGATCGCCGAGGAATTGCCAGATTGGGACCATGCCATCTACGTAGCAGACGATCCCACAGCGCCGCTGCACCCGCCCAAGAACAAAGGCCACGAGGTCATGATCTACCTCACCTACATCGTTGACCACTACGATCAACTCCCAGATGTGGCGGTGTTCATGCACTCGCACCAGTTCGCCTGGCACAATGATAACCTCTTCGCCGGAGACGCAGCGCAGCTGCTCCGCCGCCTCAATCTAAATCGTGTCATCCGCGAGGGCTACATGAACACTCGCTGTGGGTACGGCCCGGGCTGTCCAGCCTGGATGCACCCCGGGGCTCTCGAGGAAGACGAGTCGAAACAGGAGGAGATCATGCTGGCCCGCGCGTGGGGGGAGCTGTTCCCCGACCAGGAGATCCCGTCTGTGCTGGCGCAGCCGTGCTGTGCGCAATTTGCCCTGTCCCGTGATCGAATTCGCTCCATTCCGCGGGCCCGGTTTGTTTTCTATCGCGATTGGCTGCTGTCGACCGATTTGAGTGATTACATCACTGGTCGCATCTGGGAGTATCTGTGGCAGTTTATCTTTACCGGGGAGGCTGTTCTCTGCGTTGATGAGAGTGTGTGTCTTTGTGACGGATATGGGTTTTGTTTTGGCGGAAATGAGGAATGGAATAATTACCGAGAAGCTGAAACGAAGAAGAATGAGATCCAGCAGGAATTGGATAATTGGATGTGGTTGTCCGACCTTGGGTTTGGTGACCCTGCTGAATCGGGCGACTCTGCTGGATCGGATGACCCTGAAGGTGACAAAGGCAATGACCTTGTTAACCAACTTCAGGAGAAGCAGCAGGAGCTCATTGAGACTCTGCATTCTGCTATGGAACGTGGCAAGAACCCTCAGTACCGTGCCCAGGAGGCTGGTCGTCCTTGGAAAGAGGGGGATGGGTTCTAAGCTGCCTTGACTGGATCAAGTGCTGCTTCCTCTGCGTCAGCTCTTTATCCTGCCACTGCAAAATTTCGTGTGGGCCAATGATCTATATGCCATCTATTTACCATTTCATCGTGATGCAGGAGGTCTGCTTTTGGACTCGTGTTTTGTCATTTTGTCAACAATCTCGCATTTTTAATTGATGGGACCATGTATTCTGCCATGGACTTGCACCGTTTCTGATGTCTGTCCTCTTTGTGACTGATTTCTTGACTTGGATGTACTTATAGAAGATTTTTGCGTTTGCGAGTCGGGCTTTCTTATGAAAGGGTTATATCGAAAATAGAAATGGATAGAAATGATCATTAAGCACTTCAATTTTCGCCCATGAGATTTTATAGTCAAGTTCAAGTCAGACTTGCAATATATTCCGTACAAAAAGATTCTATCTGTGGATGGACCTCGGGATGGATGCCATGCTCACATAAGAAAGCCACACGCACGTGACAACATCGAAGTTTTCAGTTTGCACTGTCTGCTGTTCCTTCAAACTGCACAAACATCAACCGTCGCGCCTCTTATCAGCGAAACCCAACTAAAGCTGTCGAAGCTTTTTTTATTCTTTTGCCTTGGCCCTATTTCCGCCGTGACGCGCTCCTCACCCTCTTGGGTGTGGCGCACTCGGAGAACTGTGTTCTGACCAAGCTGCATTGCCAATGAGGGAAGCTATTCATTGGGTTCTCTATAACAACTGGATAAGAGCTTCGACTTGGAAGAGCTACCCTTCTGGAGGTAAATCGGGGATCTCGAACGCGCTTGGATCCTTCTCAAATTTGCTTTCGTCAAGCAAAAATCTTTGCCACTCTACTTTGTCTCAATCCTCGCGACCTTCTGGCACTCTCGGCTTATTGAGCCAAGTGTCTCGAAGCACCTAGCCCTCAATCGACACCATGAGCTCTTCCACCAATCAACATCTCCCTAGTACCTCCTCCGACCTACCCTCCCAGCCGACAGCGACCGCCCCCCACCTTGACCCGAACGCGCAACTGGCCAACAACGGATACGCACCCAACGACAACCAACTCGCGGGATTAGTCGAGGCAGCCACAGCCGCTGCAGACCAAGATGTCTCGCAATGGGCTGCCGCCGCAGCAGTCGCCGCGGCAGCCGGTGCAGCCGGCCATCACCACCAGCTGGATTCATACACAGACATGGATCTCTCCGAGAACGGGTTCGGCGACGCGAACTTTGGAACTGGCATGAGCAGCGGAAGACACATGAGAGTACCCAGTCACACCGACCATTCCCAGTCCTCAGGGCTCACACGAACGGCAACAAAAAAGCGCAAGCGGAATGACGATAATCTCGACCCCGCCTTGGCTGGCGCCGGTCTCTCTGCCGCGCAGCATCAGTCGCATTCCACGCAGCAAACGCCCCATGGCTATACTGGAGACGGTATTGACATTCGCCCCGAGCAGCAGCAATCCCTATCGGATGCTCGCGCGGTGGGTATTCATTCTGCGGCGGCGCTGTTCCGCCAGCCTTCTAGCAATAAGAAGTACACACGGCCTCCCATCTCAAAGATGTTTTCGTCCCTTGAGATCTCCCCGGAGAACTTTTTGCATCTCCAGGCTGCTGCTAAGAATTACATGCTGGACGATGAACACCCTGAAAGACGGGATTGTGTTGGTCAGCGTGGAAAGGGAGATACAGAAATGGTCAAGCTTCGTCTTTGGAACTGTGTTCGTCAGTTCCTCGAAACCGAGGGAAATGGTGAACGATTTTTCGGAGAGAATGTCGTTAATGAGGGCATGGGCCCGAGAGCCTACATCTGGCCGCGTGACCAACACAAGATCATCTCATTGGTCATTCCTCTGCTCAGACGGATGGTTACCAACGAAAGGCAACGCCAATACGCAATCGAGACCCGCAAAGGAGGTGGTGCTGAAGAACGCCGCCGCCGTAAAACGGAAGAATTCTCGAATTTGAATAGCCCGCGCTTCTCTCCAGAGCAGCATCTCCAAATGCAAAATCAGACCTCCCATCGGGATGATCTGTCGCAGTCAATGCCCCCTCCCCCACAGCCGATGCAGCAATCAGCAATGGATCCGTCCCAACCTGTGGAGCTCGGTCTGACCGACCTCCTCCTAGACGGATACACAGTCGACTGGGAACAGATCTCCCGATCCTATAACACGTACAATGAGAACTTCGAGCTCGACAACCTATGGTCTCTCTCCGGTCTCCAGCAACCCGATTGGCGTGGGCTCGTCGCCGCAGTGGACAGCCATTACCACGTCATCCACAACGGTGATTACAACTGCCCGTCGGCTTGCGAAGACGAAAACATCAACCGCATAATCCACGCGGATACCGCCTCAGGTCTCCAATGGCGCATTGGCGGAGGCCGCAACCTCCCAGCCCGAGACGAATTGTAAGTCATCCATCCTTTCAAGCGCGTAATGAATACCAACTAACAACCCAATAGTGCAAGCAGCATCACCCGCGACGTGTCTCGCATTATCCGCGAGAACATCGCCTCCCGACACGGCCAACCGGCCCAAGCACCCGGTGCTCACTTCCATCAGCCATTCACTCCTCTCCCAGAGTCGACGCCAACGGCCAACACAACCGCCCCCGCTCAAGGCCAAGGCCAAACCTCCCTTCTCGTCAATATCCTGCACAACGGGAAGCGCATCCTCAAATTCGACCTGCCGGCAGGCCAATGCCCCAACGTCGACATGGTCAAGCAGGCAATTCTCCGTCGGTACCCGGGCCAAATCCCAGGCTCGCCGGCATTCCAGGGCGCCAACGCTGCTACGCATGAAGCTCGCGAGTCTGCTGTTGTGGATGGGTGGAAGATCAAGGTCTGGTTGCCGGATGGACTGCTACCTGTGCAAAGCCAGAAGGATTGGACTATTGCTTTACTTTCGACTGATGCTGTTGATTGGATGGATGGGGAGTTAAAGGTTCTTGTTGAGGTTGATGAAGGGAATGGGCAGTAGTGTGATTTTGTACCTTTTTTTCCTTCTACTATATCCCTCTTTTTTCTATGTTGGATAAGTTGTATCGTTATACCCTCAATTCAAAACGCCATTCCAATTCATCTATATTGAAGACGTATCGTACAATGTATGCCCTCGGTCAACATAACCTTCGGCAACGTTACAAGGTTGCACCGAAGAATCATAAAAAGTGGAGCCAATAAAAGAAGTGGGTTGCATTAGTCCTAATTGGGAAGAGTATCTTCCTATATTGACAGTCAAAGCAAACATCCCAATACCTTGCCCTGGTAACTGAGCGGGAATCGCATAAGACCGTTTCGGCGGGACCTGTACTGCGCAAGGGAACCGGAGACCTGTGGTTCAACCCTCGCCTTTGAACTTGATCGACTTAAAGGAGGGACAACGATCATAATTTCTTCCTATGGTCAGGGGGATTGTAAGTCATTGGCGGATGTGACCGCCCATCATACCCCGTCGGCAGCAGAACCCCCAGGTTGTAGAGGTACCCCCATCCCCCTTTGGGGCCTTTCTTTTGTTTCCTTTTGATGCATGTTATGGAGTTCTGGCGGTTTGGCGTATGATCACATGCCATTAGCACTTCTTACAATCTTAAATCTCTTTCTTCCCATGTCTCCTTTTATAGCATGATTGATCTCTTTTCTTGCTTCTGGTGAGGACGATGCTATTTACCTGCCTCCTCCCCTAACTGCGACATCCACTCTCCCAGCTCTCACCACAACGACTCGAGAAAGATACGTACCAAATTCTCAGTGAATATAGCCTTATCCAGTAAGACCCCAAAGAGTTAAGAGCCTCCCTCGTGGGAATACCAAGTTGTTATACACTCTAGCTTCCCGCCCCCATAGTTATCCCGAAGATCCAAAATATATTTAGCTTGATAAATCATCCTCGCAACATGACCCGGATAGCAAAGTTTGTTCTGAGACGGACAGCTTAAATCATCCAAAGACTCTATACTAAATCATCCATTCAAGCACGTTCGAGGCATGATATGGTTGACAACTCTTATCATATTGCCAAGTACGAAAGTCTCCAGAAATTAAAGTCCGTAAGAGTGTATATTGTAATCAAAAATATGCAAAAAGAAATCGCATGCCTGATAATACAGGGTAAAAATGTAATGATGAGCAGGGCCGGGAATGATGCACATCTCGAATGCGGCTTGCCAAAACACCAACAAAATAAGAACCGCTCTATACGCCGTAACACACCCGAAAGCTAAGAGAACCGGTCCTGCTGAGAGCTCATTTGTTGTGTACAAGCAGAGTGCGGAGGGAATCCCAATGGTCTGAGTCGCCATAACTGTGGTTGACATGAAGGTTAGCATTGGGAAGAGCGACTCCAAACTTCCGAATAACACGAAGCGAGGCAGAACCATAGATAGTGGAAGCAAAACATACATATACACCATGCTACTTCGCAGGCTCGACGCCAGCGTCTCCGGGTGCCAGCGGAAAATATACATGACCATCGCCCAGGTCATAGCGGCGAAAACAGGGTAGGCATTATTCGTGATCTTAGTGCGTGTGTCGGGTGTGATGAGGGAGGAGAGGGGGTGCATGTTGGGTTGGACGGCGAGCTTGGCGAGAGCAAGCATCACACGCGCGAAGACGTAAATAACGATCTAGATTTGAGTTAGTTCTGCAGAAAAGTCGAAGTTGGTTCGGGAGTCGAAGTCTGAGTTGTTTTCACAATCAGGGAAAGTTCAAAATAACATACCTGCTGGCTAATACTGCCCGGCTGTCGTCCGAAAACTGCATACCCGCCCAGCAGGCCTGCAAAGAAGGTATCATATCGGCCTTCTTTCCCGGCGCCACCTGGTATATTCCGGAGAAGGATCATCGAGGCCTTGTAGATGATGGCAAATGTGGAGAGGTTCCGCGCATGCTGGCGGGTCGCTTTCAAAACGAGCTTCGTCTTTTCGCGTATCCTAGAAAACGAAGCGATCAGTTTCGCTCTGCGGAGAGGTAAAGTCGGGCGTGCGGAGTGACATACGTTCCAGATCTGAACAGAAATATCATTCTAGAAGCAGTAGGTATCGGTCAGCTTTGCCTTGTAGCGGAGTCTGCGGCTGTCCGAGGTCGAACATACACCAGCGCATGCGGAAAGCGAACTTTTGATCCGTATACGATTCCATTGCGTGCACCCTTCACTAACGACAATAGCGGCGCGAGCTCGGGTTTGAGAACGAGCGCATCGAGTTGGGACTGCGGGAAGACCTGTCAATACTGTTGTATATGGTCGGAGACACTGCGGAACTCACCAGCAGTGTATCCATGGCGTCTCTGGGCCGAGGTAAGAGGCCGGGCTCGTTTTGGGGTGGTTATAGGGACGATGGACAACGAGAGGAGACCAGGAGACCGTCACGGATCATGAGGAGGAAATAGAGTAAAAATATTAGTCTCCTGCGGTGAGAGATGTTAGGGGAGGGGGACGGCACTTTAGTCGGTTCCCGCATCGAGAAGGGCCTCGGCATGTGAGAATACAGCCGACGTCATGGTCACGTGGCTGTATACAAGACCTTGCTACGAGCATACGGGTGAATCTTGTTGATTCTAGGATAAAGTAGGGGATGGAGGAAATACCTCTATTAGATGTAGAGGTTTTTAAAATAACTTTTCATATGCCGTAAGACTGCTCATACAGGCGCAGAAAATGAAATCCCGTCCGGCCCAAACTCCTTAGCGAAAAGAATCATGCAAATCAATCGATCTTAATTTTTCCGTGCCTTCTTGTAGCTCTCCATCTCCTCATCAGAAGAGACCTCATCCACCTCCATCATATCCGCAGATGGCTCCTCCTCCTCGTCCGACGATTCCATACCCGCCCGACGCTTGAGACCCTTCATCTTACGGGTCTGCAGGTCAGACAGATCCTGCTTGCCGAGGTGAACACGACCAATCTTATCACCCATGGAGTCCATTGTGATGTTCTTCTTGGTTCGGGCTTCCTCGTTGGGACGCTTGCCCTGCTTCATGGACTCCTTCTGCACCTCAGGAGCAGCCTGGCGTGTGCGACCGACCTTGAAGTCGAACTTGGGACCGACCTCCTGCAACTCCACGCGGGGAAGCTTGTGACCACTGCGCTTGGTAACAACTCTGTACCAGCGCATGTGGATGATCGGCGAGAGGCCATCTTGGGGCTCCTCTGCACCGACCATCATCACGTACTGCAGACCTTCGACGTCAACCTGGTTCGTCTCTTCGCCCTTGAACATGTCGAGAAGAGTGCTCTTGAGGATGATGTGCGCAGTTGATGTAGGATCGTCCCAGGGGCTACCAGAGAACAGCATCATAGGTCGCAGGCCGAGACCGACGTCCATGACAAGCTCTTTGAAAGGCGGGATGGTCTCACCATCTCTCGGGGGGAGCAGCATTAGCTCGACGAGATCGAGTAACTCTGAGTTGTAAACCCGAGCCAATGTAACACAGTTGGGTCGCTTCTTGTTGTGGCTTCCGAATGCTACGAGTCCACACTCGTTCTTGTTCGCCAAGAATTCCAGGCTCTCCGAGTTCTCATATGGGTGCAAGTTCTCGTTCTTCTTGTGGAAAAGAACGTTGTAAGGCTTCGTCAAAGCGTGGAAGGTCTTCAGCACGGTGTCCAGCGGTTGGGGGCATTTTGCGCCGTGGAAAATCAGGGTCTTCTTGGGGGGTTCGATGAGTTGCGGCTCCCGGGCTTTCAGGATACGCGCAGTGCGCGGGTTCTTGGCTTTCCTGGAGGGAAGAGTATTAGAATAGGATGGCAATCTTGATGAATTGCCACTTACACTTCTCTCAACATTTTGTAGTGAATGATCGGCAAAAATGACTTGGGGTAAAAATATCGAATGAGCGGAAAAGTTTTGGGTTGCTGATGGCTTGGCACCTTTATCGATAAGCCAGGTACCGTTCTGGTCACGTGCTTGAGATATCAAATCTTGTCCGATTGGCCACTTCATACTACATCCACCTGCATTCTACTATACAACGCACATCTGTCTCATAGTTAATTGTCTAAAGTGAATATCAATCCTTCAGAAGTCCAATTCAATGGCTGAAGGGTTCATTTTGAGCAATTTGATTTCTGACTTCTAAATACATATTCTACAATATACATACCTCACCTTCCATCTCACATACTATTATTGCAAACACCTCGACCTACCTTGAGTTCCCGGCAGACTTGGGCATCTTCGAAGGGTTAAATTGCAGAACAACATACCTACTACAAAAGCACTTAATGCAATACGTAGGACTCCGAAGCGAAAACAAAAACATACGACAGTGAGGATTCGCTGGTGGTCACCCACCCAACTACTAACTCACCGGCGTGTGGCTTAAGTACGGCTGAGCGGACGGGAAGCCCTGTTTTCCACACCCTATGGTCGTATGTGACAGATTATGTGTCAGAAAGGATCATGCCGCGCAGGCATATGAGCCTAGGGCTCGGTCGAATGCTTGAAGATGTGGCGTATATGATACAATTAGTTCAAGTATGTCTCCTTCGGTGGACCTGAGAACTGTTTTCAGTATTCTTCACTACTTTTGCGGGATGTCTCCGATTTCGATCTACTCTCACTTGTTGAATTTGTTTTCTTCAACTGAGGCTTCCGTATCGTTCTGGTTTCTTTCTTACGTATTTTGGAGTGGAGCAATTGGTGACTGAGCCTTCCAATATATGAACGAATGTTTGATATGTTAGAGGTATATTGTCAGATTCCTTGGAACATACATAGCTTCTGCAACGACTGTTCCATATCAATTCTCACACCCCACCACTGCCCCTTAATCTCTTCATATATATACCGGCCCGAAGCATGCCTAAGTTACTATCAACTTCGTGTCAAGTGATAATAATATACACTCGTATTTTACGCAAGTGTAACAGATTAGGAGAAGACACCCGGAATCAGGCTCGCCTCTCGCAATTTAGGGCTTAACTTGGTTCCGTTTAAAGTACAAAGACATTATCCTATCCACCACCTTGGAAGACTGTGGCTTCACGGCATGACCGTTTCTAACACATAACTTCGTATACAAGACCATAGGGTGTGGAAAACAGGGCTTCCCGTCCGCTCAGCCGTACTTAACCTACACGGTCAATATTTAATGCGCCCTCGGCACCCAAGCGGCACTCTAGCGTGAGTGCGGGTGATATAGGTGAGAAGTCCGGAGACCAGGGCGAGAGAGGTGAGAAAAGGGGTATCGTGCACTAGCTCGATCCATAGGTCTTCAAGTTTTGTTATCCCAGGTTCTTGCCAAGCAACCCAACGCCCATTTGGGTGTTGGGTTACCACAACGCAATATAAAACCCTGCCGTAATGCAAAATGTACCTTTTGTTACGGATTCACATACACAAGGTACATATGGTAAAACGTCAGTTACGTGGAGACAGATAGAATGATTTTACGCCCACTATAGAATTCTAAGCATGTAAAAAAATATATCTTCCATCATATATAATCCTTAGAGAGCGGTTTTTGTATAGCTATAGCGCGAACGATTTTCGGCGGCTATTTGAACGCCCCTTTCTATAGGGCCATGGCAACGTCAATTTTATAAATTAAAATGATGCTATATAGCTTTATATACGACCAAAATACTGAAATGGGATTTATTCAAATCATATCAACTTTTGTTGGACCTTGAGGTTAAGAAATAAATGAATGGCCGTGTGTACCTTTTGTATGTGAATCCCTAACAAAAGGTACATTTTGCATTACGGCAGGGTCTTATATTGCGTTGTGGTAACCCAACACCCAAATGGGCGTTGGGTTGTTACGCACTGCAAACTGGTCACAGTTAGGTTAGAAGGGTGCTGAGTAAACTTGCCTTCTCCACCTCAGGTTTCCAAAGTCAATGATCTGTCTCTTAACCGTACTGTTGCCAATCAGGCCTTACTGCCGGTCAGGTCCTTTCGAGGGTATCGAGGAATGGTGCCAGGTAGGGCGCCCAATTGATCTATACCGGGGTATGGGTGAATCCGTGAGTGTTGTCGAGTTATAATCAAGCAATAAGTCAAACTGTAATCCAAAAGGTAAACACAAGTAACAATGTATGATTGAAGACGAAGAACTCAATTAGATACATGAATGAGTGTCCTTATATATCCCGTAGTCCTTCTGTTGTAGATGAGTAGATAGTAGAGTAGTAGAATGGACCTGGCACATTCTAGCGGCTGATCATCTACCGTTCTACTGTATGGTCACGTGCTCTGTTTCCCAAGTCTCAGGCATGCCTGAAGCATAGCGTGTTTCACGTGCCTTGATGACAGATAGAGCGGTTGGCTCTCGATGGCCCATCTATGCAACTGTGGGGGGTCACCATCGGTTGGTGACCAGTATGCCCGTAACAGGTTGCTTGGCAAGAACCTTGGTCAGCATTACTATTATGCTTCTTATTATAGATACGTATATCTATAGATATAGATCTTTAGCTATTTAAGTTGATATATTATGTGTTCCCTCTCTTACGAAAAGACTTCCTTAAGCTCTATATATAGCAAATATCACTCTGTAAGACTTTAAAGATATTGCTATCTAAGAAGCTCTCCGACAATAGGCGTTCCCTTTTATGGCGAATTTAACATGATTATTTCACGATCTGTTCTATGTTGGTGGCGGATTCTCGCTTACGAGGGTCTGTTATTTTGATGAAAAGAATGAAGGGCCGGTTACCCCTGCGGTGGCTTACTATCACACATGCGACCGGAGACTAACGTCGAGTTCAAGATATCATAGGACATGGGCGTTCCGATAATATGCAGGTGCTCCGCTTCACTCGCTGCGAAGGTGTAGTTATAACTAGTTATACACCTTCGCAACCCACCTTGAGTTAGTGAAAATGAACTAGCATGGATGTCTAGTAGCTGCATCGTGGGCGGCTATGCACTAGGCCATATTTAGAGCACACGTGCTCAAAAATAGCGCTGTGTTCCCCCTCACTACGAATCCTTCAAATTGGGGTTTCTTATATTCCGTAGTCGTCTGCGCTTTTGACCAAAGTTTGTTTTCACCGAATATTCATATCCCGATGGAGCAACCACCCAGAAAGAAGAACCCCTCCCAGCAGGAGGAAAGAGAATTGATTAATAAATACAAAATCAAGTTTGAGGGGCCCGTCTCCCCGGCTAGTTGGCCGGAACAAAATTTAGCCATATTCACCACCATCCGCAAAATCGAAGACATTAAGTATAACACTTACCTGGAGCAAATACACACCAATACCCCGGAGGGTGCACAAAGGGCGAAAACGGTAAACAAGGTTAACCGTCTTGTTTCTGCTGCATACGATTGCCGTCTTCTTGAAGCTAAAGAGCCTGCTTGGAGGTCCAAGACGGAGTCCCCTCTACTAGGCTTTTTTGAGGAAGACATAGAGTGGTGGGTGAAACATCGAAAATCCAACCTTGGATCAATTCTGATTTTGATCTAGTCGGAAATGTCAACAGCGACGATGGGTTCCCGATTTCTGTGCGCTGCCAATCACGCGAAATTGGGGAGGACACAAAGTGCAAACAGCGCAAGGCGGGGTGGGTATTTGTCAATGCAGTGAAAGCGATATCGAGGGACATGAGGTAAATGGATCAAATCCATTCGTTCAGAACATCAAATAGCTAATAATGTTTGCTTACTAGCCCGTCGACAAGAATGTAATATTTGCCGGCCAGGAGCATGCAGGAATCACCGATCTCTCTGTACCTGAGATCGGAACAAAGTATCCTGACAGGGTCATTGGGCTTCGGAGATCACCAACACTTAGCGCTGCCCTTCAAGGCCATTCAACCCTCGTTTGCTGTCCAGTGAAGAATGCAAAGCATATTTTGTTTCCTTTCCTGATAATTGAAGCCAAGTCTGAGATTCAAACACCTGGGTTTACGGCTATCGAGAAGCAGACTGCGTTTCCTATTAAAAGACTTCTCGATATTCAAAAGTCTCTGAGAAAAAGAAGGCAAGAGCCAGAAGAAAACAGCTTAGTTTGGTTCTTGGCTTTCAGTGGGGATGAATGGAGAGTCTATGCGTGTGTTCCCAGAGGAGATGAAACAGTAAGGTTCTTCAAAGAGGCCCGAATCCCTTACTGACACAATGGCAGCGTATAATCGACCTTTGGCACGGATGCATTCAAAGGCATGATTCTGCACTACAATTGTGTCTGATTGTTGACTTCATATGTGACTGGGCCTTGAATATCCATCGAAGTGAGATCATTAGATTGCTTTCTGGTGAAAAGAAGAGTACAATCAGCAATCCGCTGACTAGTCCTCATGGACGTGACACTCAAGAATTGCGACCTGAGCATTCACCCTCGCGGAAGCGACGATCCGTCATTCGAGACACAAATGAGGTTTTCTTCTCATTCCGCCATATGACACTCCCTGACGTGACGAACGAGCTGATTGCGATTCTCAATCCACCTGGCTCGGGGGATGAAGAAGTCAATCAGAAAGCCATCAGACTTTTGGGTCTATTCAACCTAGAGCATCCGCTCTTGGTCACGGCAGGATTTATCTGTAGTCTACAGAAGCTTTGGACAGGTGCAACGAGCAATCATCCAATTCTTGACAGCGACCAGTCTATCTGTGCTCACATTTCATTCCAATCATACTTTCGGCCAAGCGACTTCCATATCGTACGAAAAATTTCATGCATCACGGCATCATTCGGTGCAATAAGTACTCTGCAGCGTCTGGCGGGAACGAATCTTCCCTTGTCGTCGGTGTATCCAGATCTACACCCGAAGAAAGTCCTTCCTTTAGCGGAACTATCTGGCGTGAATTCATTAAGAGCTGCTGCTAGAAACTTGCGACTCACATTATGGGTGACTCAAAAGATTTCCACCACGCGGCCATCCTGTAACTGGGTGAAGCAAGTCTCTCAAGGAGAATTTGTGTCAAGCATCTGGGACAAACTAGAATCCTTTTTTCCTGGGGTTCTTCATTTTCCTATATTCGTGCACTCGAGTGAACTACGCAGGATTCCGGCTGCCAATGAATCCCTGTCTTCTGACCTGCAAGGCTTTCTCAAACAAGGAAACCACCAGCTTCTTCACGGAGCTGTCCTTCTCAAAACAGCTGAAAGCTCACTCAAGCCGCTCCAACCCCAGTATTGCTTGGCCGTATTTGACGGCTCCGACCTAGATGATCGGCCGTGTCTTGGTTTTAAATTATTGCACTTAATTACAACCGGCGGTTTGTTTGAGGGGAAACACATGTCTACTGCGACTACAAAAGATCGCCAATTCATTCACGACTGGGCTACTCGCCTAAGGCGCGGTGATTCTTGAGTGTCAATGGTTTGCAGGCTAGGAAGCACTGTCATGTTGTTAAACATTTGTTCAAACCTCCTTTCTCGACTTTTTTTTTAAGTGTTTCCACGTTAGGACGTTACATTGCCCTACATTAAGCGTTCAACATTTGGCAACACTTTTGACTAATTCTCTCTTGCTACTGTCTCTGGAGATGGAAACGACGAAGATGCCTTCGAAGAGTACACGAACTGCTAACCTTCAATCCGTTCTCCAATGTACATCACTTGTGTCCATTTTCATTCAATTTTTTTTCAAGTCCCATTGTAGTTTACTTTTTCATACAGTAGGCTAGCCGTGTTCTGTGCTACATCGATATTTAGTTTGGAGTAGTCCTTAAAGTCACCATCTATAACCTTGCTTAGATCTAGAGCTTTGGTAATACCAATAGTATATCTGTGGCGACATCACTTACCGGAACATTTATCTCTATCGAGAAGATCAAAATATTCTGTGTAGCTGGATTCTCTAGCCAAATATACACGCATAAGTCGCTCCAACCGCTGAAAGGTATATGCGTGGCAGGTATATGTGGCTAAATTAATTGAACAAATTGTGTCGATTCTCTGCCGCTAAACTGTGACTAAGACACCAGGTCTATAGAAGGCTTTATTGGCCTAACTAACCGCTGTTCCTAAGTCAATCGGATGCTAGGAAGCCCGATCGGCATTCCTATTATATCTCCTAGAACCTCCGATAGACATACGCTCTAATTCCCTATTCAGTCTTTACTGAGTTCTCCTTGGTACGGTGAATAGATGGTAGCCCACATTTCGCGAGATAAACCTAGCGGCGACTTGACTTGAAGAGAACACTAGCCAGCGTTAAGTGTTAGTAGTATCACACTCTAGTTGGTTGCCTAGGACTAGAGAGAACCAAACTAGTCACGGCATTGGCTTTAGAAGTAGTCTCGTATCCGATCTTTCCAACCACCTTCCAATCGCCAGCAACTATAATCGCTCAAATAACTCGGATCAAACGGGAGATGAGAGTATATCAGCCGCTAAAGTGTTCTGGGCTAAAACAAACGTAATATGTCCTCCAGGGCTCAAGGGAGAGTGACATGGAAGTTTAGCATTCGCCAGCCACAGCTCATGATCCCGACCAGATCATTCGGCAAAGTCGAGTGGTGAGGCACTCATATAGCAAAGGTCATCCCTCAAATTGGTTTTACTGGGCTGGATGCAATAATTCATGGGAGAGGATAAAGGATAAATATGGCGTAAAATTACAATGATAGTGTATTACCCCGCCCGCCTCGCGGCTATGCGTAAATACTCGATAGATGCGAGCGCCGATAATATCAAGCAGCCGGGAAATGAGTGCCTTCCGCTACCCGCCACGTCACTGTGACTGCAGCCTCCATGCGAATGCTGCTCGTGAACGGGAATTTTGTGCGTTGGCAGGTCTACTAAAAAGGCGTTCGAAATTTAGGAGGGCTCGATCAAGTGACGTGTAAGCCGCCCTAACAAGGCGCTTATGTCATGAGAGACCCAACTGGCTGTATGAACATAGTACCTATATATGGGATGGTTTGCATCACTAATTATCAGGATTTCGTTGGTGCGGGCAGCCGTATAGCCCAAGACACATTGCAAAGCACCCTTGTATCGTGCATGCATAAACCAGCTCACTCTGCTCCATCCCGCACAAAGGAGGCATAAAAGCAATCATTTTCTGTTTGCCAAAGTTGGGAATTAAACCCTGCGATATGTAGAATGCACACCGTGCACCTTACCCCTGTGTTTTGGTAGCTTCATTTCCATGATTGGAGATACTACCCATGCCATGGCATAAAAATTGGAAAGTGAGGGATAAAGAAAGAACAAGGATTGTATGGGAAATCAATCACTGATAACGGGAATTATAAATTCGGAGTGTTTGCTCCCCAAAAAGCCCAAGAAGCACTTGTTCGATCAAAATTTACCATCTATTCAAAATGTCTACGGAAACCGAAGTTCCACTTAGACCGAAGCAAGTTGTAATTGCACCACGAATTACCATTGAAACTCTTGAAAGTACCGTGAGGCATATATCCAGTTTTGCTTCCAGCCTTGAGATGAAGATTGCGTCGACGATAATCTATGAGATTAAGAGCCAACGCGAGCAGATCAAGACAAAGCAAGATGAGCTGTCAGAAGTTCGCAAGAAGCTTGAAGAGAAGGAGAAACACCAAACCATTGCGATGGACCAATGGCTTATTGAAATGCAAAAGGAGAAGAGTGAATCCATAGGGATTCACAGATGTTTTTCAAGATATAGTAGTTGATTTCAGGCTGCTTCTGCATCAAAGAGGCGAAGCGGGGACATTGCATAAGGAATCTTAAACGTGACGCGGCATAATAAACCATCAATATTTATAAATCGTCAGCGGTGTCTAGTCCAGTGATCAAGAGCAAAAGTTTAACGACTCCTTCAGTTCGGCATAGATCCAAAACCATATACTCAAGACCATGAACTAGCTTCCACAAACTCAAAACTTTAAGAGTATCTATGTGCTGCTTTTCTCCGAATATGTAGCCGTGCATATACAAGTAATACATCAGGATTTCTGCAAAAATGTTCTATTTCCCCACAAAGTGGCAGGATGGGTTCTTGCGGAAAGTCTCCTACCAGATCATCCAAAAGCTTCTAAGTATTCGCACGCTTCCGAAAATAGTTATCCTTGAGCAGTAGAAGCCTTTCGGGTGCGATGTTGGTTCCATCTTCACAAGCCAGATAGGCTGGCTCATCCGCTGAGGTCGAGATAGTCGCCGTAGTATATAAATTGAAGTATATAACCGAAAATGTCCTCTATGTCATCACGAAATCCAATGACGCAACCAGCAACCAGGGAGCTCAGGTTGGGAGCTGAAAAGTGCGAGACGTTTAGGACGTTACCATGAACACTAAACTCTTTTTGATTTGGCCCCACTTTGAAATACACGACTGGGGAAGTTTGAGCGGAATGCATTCAATCGGGTAATCCTGAAAATCACGCGCTGCGAAAAATTGAAATGAAAGCTTTGGCGTTTGCGACGAAATATGGGGAAACCTCTTCTTAATAGGGCAAACCCCATATGAAGGCAGTTCTAATGTATAAGAGAGTGGCCGGAGAAAAGGGGGATAGTAGTTATATAGAATGTATAGGGATTGTTGAGAAGTTGTGAAATAAGTGTATTATTGAAAGGGCGCCAAGAGCAGATCATGCGGTAGGCCGTATACAATAGGGACGCAGTAGAGTGACTGGACTTCAACCTGCGCTGTTCAGTTCAATCCACGTTACCCCTGCAACTGGCAAGGGGTGAATCTCCAATGGCAAAGACCCCTCCTCATTGGATTAATTCCCCGCCCCACTTCCACCCCTCTTCCACCACTCTTCCACGAGGTTGATACGGCTTTCTTAAGATGGATAGAAAGTGATACGCTACTAACCGCGCCAAGGCTATCTGGGCAGGTCCTCCTCTTCGTCCCCCTAGGCTGATGGGCCTTTCCAGACTCAGTTGTCTAAATCTCATGACTTATGTAGCTGCAGGTGCTGCGCCTAGCTGCTTCCATCCAACGGCCAAAGTAACTCAGAATCCTTGTCGGGTTGATTGGCCCTGGGTGTGGCTACGATTGAAACTCCCCCGTGTAGGCGCGTAGGCTGACCAGCCGCCCAGACCTGTTGGATGTGGCTTCGCGACGCGAACGTAGAGGCACCTGGGGCTATCTGACAGCTATAGGCCACTCATATGCGCAAGTCGAGCATGAAAAGCCAGAGTCTCACTAGAATATGCATGAATGCCTCACAATTATCTCCTTATGCGCAGCTAACTAGCCCGAATACGTGTGATTTTTGGCCTTAACACGTATGCTGAGGCTTGTAGCATGGGTACTTCCTTTTCCCACATTAGCGCTCTTGTAGTAGATTACGCTAATTCATGCCTACATCGATAGGCTCTCAAGCCCTCTTGCAGACTATCTATTCTTCTAGTAACCTTGTGACAAGAAATTACGAGGCAGATTTGTTTGCTGCAGATAGAGGAGATACTATGGAAAACGCCTAACAAACAACAGCAATCCTTTCTTACTGGAGGCTATTATCAGGTTATCCACTGTTACAAAGTACAATGCAGTATTGCGTCTCTCTTACCAAACAGGATACCCGTTTGACGTATCCTATATTACTTCATAGACTCTTTCCCTTCTCTGAACAATCACATCCATCGGAAACATACTTCTTCTTCAACGAAAGCCATACAACGGTGCAACCTTCTGAGCTAGAAAGACGTATTGTGCTTTAAATATCACCAGAGCTAGATCTTCTACAGCTCAGTCTCCTTCCATCTCCTTTCATGATGGCCCACCGCGGAAGTTGGCGATCTCGGGGTAACACGAGCAATCGAGGAGGATCCAACAGCTTCAGAAAGCGCAATGAGCCGGAAACACCCTGTGTGCACTTTCAGCGTGGCAGGTGCCACTACGGTGAGAAGTGCAAATTCTCGCACGACGTGGCGAAGGCTGCCAACTTCAAGTTGAATCCAGCCGCATACCGTCCCACAGACGGTGATCTGGACGCTCGGAATCAATACTTCGACTGGAAGAGACTTCTTAGAAACGGGATATCAGGGTCTGAATATTCTCGAAGTGAACAAGAGGAGGTCGTTCAATTCTGGAACGGGGCTCTTGAAATTCTTGAAAGCGACAGCAGAGAGAATCACCAATTCCTCGCCAAAGACCTTGTGGATGACAATTTTCATGGATATCACTTTATCCTGGCGACTGCGGATGCAGACAATCTAGAGGGACTAAGACCTATTCCAGCTTACGATGAGCCGTTTCTCAAAGTCATTACCCATGTTTCTCTCTTGAATTGTCTTTCTATCGATTCATTTGTTGGCACTCTGTACACATCCTTCGGTGGCACGAATGGAGATCGAGCAATCAGATATCTGAGAGGTGTCTGCAGGAAGCTGATGAGTAAAGGTGAAGACACCAACGAAACTGCACCGGTTATCTCCCTAGACATGATGAAATTGCTGTTAAATACCCTTTACCAGCTCTTATCAAGGGTCCGACGCGCTCGATTCCACGATGAACTTCCCGCACTGCTCGACCTAGCGCGCGAACTGGGCTCCAAAATGACCGAAAAATGCTCGAAAGCCGACCTTGATGGACTCGAAAGCAGAATAGAAGTCATGCAGAGCCTGATCACTAGCGCGAACCGCAGTCTTGTTAGACCCAGGGCGCATGAGGAGAATTCCCAGAAGACTAGGTCAGTCCTGTCGTCCTTTCCAATGGATATGCAAATACCTGGCGGGAGACACGACAACGACCTCGCAGAAATATCACAAATTCAGATTCTTCCTATCCATGGAGAGATTATCAGCGGCAATTCAGAATATCTACCCTCTACCAACTTCCTACAGCCGCACTTTCTCGCCGACCCTTTGCGAAGACATATTGACTCAACGTTCCGACTCCTGCGCCATGATATCTTCGGCTCAGCCAAAGATGTCCTTAGAGACCTGCTGCAGCAGAATGATTTGACACGAAGTCCTTACCTCTCAGGCAAGGATAGCGGGGCACATCTCTATCTGGGAGCACAGGTCCAGCACATATTTATCAATGAGAGAAATGAGCTCGAAGCGACTGTATCTTTTTCTACTCCGCCACAACTCCGCAAAAAGACCTCCAAAGAGCAATGCAGATGGTGGCAAGACTCCAGCCGACTTGAGGAAGGAAGCCTAGTTTGCTTCTTGACGTCCCAAGGAACTCACAGAAGGCTTATCTTCCTCGAGGTTACTGTGAAGAATGCTTCCAAGGACCGAGCGCACCAGAACAAGAGTAGTCTTGCTTCTGATAGATTTCCACCTAGTATTACGGTCAAGCTTGCGGCATGCCTACAACAAGAACTGATCTTCCTGGGCCAGCTTTACAGCGAGAAGCTCACCGGTATTCTGGTCGAATTCCATGGTCTGATCCCTGCCACGTTTGTCCCTATCCTGGAAAACCTTCAGCGGATCCAAGGCGAAGGAGATTTGGCATTCCGAAAATGGGTCTTGCCAGGCCGCAAGGGCGATGAAGATGGTCACAGCATACCCCCACCGGCATACGCGCGCAAACCAGGATTTATCTTTCCCCTGACTTCGATCACAAACCTTACGGCTGATAATGTTTCATTGGACCCGAGTACCCCTGAGTCCATTGACATCTTGAAGCTGCAAACTCAAACTGGTCTCGATTATGGCCAGTGTCAGGGACTTATCGCAGCTCTCACACGAGAGTATGCCCTCATCCAAGGCCCACCGGGCACCGGAAAGTCCTATTTGGGTGTTAAGGTTGTTCAAGCTCTGCTTGAGATCAAGGAAAAGGCAAAGCTAAACCCGATTATTGTGATGTGAGTACTGATTTCATGCCTTCTGGTATATTTACTTATAGGAACTATAGCTGTTATACCAACCATGCCTTGGACCAATTCTTAAAGCATCTTCTTGATGTAGGTATCCAGAAAATCATACGCATTGGCGGCCGCAGTCAAGCCACCGAGCTTGAAGGCAAGAACCTTCGCGTTGTCAGTAAAGACGTTGGGAAGACGAGGGTAGAGTCGAAAACCCTCGGCATGTCCTACGGGGGACTTGAAGACTGTATGAAAAATGCTGGATATGCAATGAAGCCTCTACACCAGTCTCGGAAAGGCCTGTCTTGGGCCGCTATGGGGCATTTCGTGCGGCGTAAATGGCCCATTATACATGAACAGCTGGAGCGACCAGACCCAGAAGGATTCACAACTGTCACTAATGATAGATTGCTTAACTGGCTTGGAGCCAAATCGATGAGAATCCAGAAAGACCAGAACGAGAGTGAAGTTGACGGTGTGCGCTTGGAACGCCTCACACGCGCTGCTAAGGAGAATATTCATAGTCTCTCGATACCGGAACGCCGGATCCTTGCAATGAGCTGGTTCAAACAGTGGCAGGAAAGCGAAACCGCCTCGCTTTTCGAGGCTCTTGATCGCGCTGCAAATCTTCGCGAGGACATTAATGCAGTCCATGAAGAGGTCAATCGCCGAGCCCTAATTCAAGCAGATGTGATAGGAATAACGACAACATCCCTTGCACGCCATATCAAGACACTGCGCTGCATAGGAACAAAGGTCATTATATGCGAGGAAGCAGCTGAGGTGATGGAAGCCCACGTCATCTCAGCCCTCATGCCAGGTGTTGAGCACTTCATTCAGATTGGAGATCATCGACAGCTGCGACCACAGATCCAGAATCATTCACTCAGTCTTGAAACATCCACAGGAAAGGCGTGGCAGCTAGACAGAAGCCAGTTTGAGAGACGCGCTGTCGGTGAGCCAGGTCTCAAGCCTGCCCCTATTGCACAGCTTAATGTGCAGCGAAGAATGAGACCTGAGATCTCGCAACTTATCAGGAGTGTCTATCCCAAACTCGAGGATCATGGAAGCGTGACAACTCTACCCAATGTCGTTGGAATGCGGAACAACCTCTTTTGGTTGGACCATCGATGCGATGAAGACTCGAGAGATGACGGCAGCCGTGTGAAGTCCCATAGCAACCAGTGGGAGGTCGATATGGCTACTGCTCTTGTTCGGCATCTTGTTCGGCAGGGAGAGTACAAGAGCACGGATATTGCCCTCTTGACCCCCTATACCGGGCAGTTGCGGAAGCTCAGGACATCGCTCGGCAATGATTTCGAGATTTGTCTTAGCGAGCGAGACCTAGAAACCTTGGCCGCGGATGGGTTTGAGAAGCTTGAAGATGAGAATCACGAGTCAAATAGTCGCCAGGCAATCGAGAAGAAGACGTTGCTCCAGACGCTCCGCCTTGCCACCGTCGACAACTTTCAAGGCGAGGAGGCAAAGGTGATCGTGGTCTCCCTAGTTCGCAGCAACCCAAAGCGCAAGGTTGGCTTCCTACGCACCGAAAACCGCATCAACGTGCTCCTCAGCCGAGCTCAGCACGGCATGTATCTCATTGGAAATGCCGAAACCTACCTTAATGTGCCAATGTGGGCCGATGTCCACTCTCAGCTCTCCCGTGCGAATGCAGTCGGCACCGAGTTGGCTCTCTGTTGTCCTCGCCACTCAGACACGCCTATTCTATGTTCCGAACCTCACGACTTTGAAAGGAAGAGCCCTGAGGGTGGGTGCAGTCTCCCGTGTACCCGTCGACTCCAGCCATGTGGCCATCAATGCCAGGCCAAGTGCCATTCGGCGGTCATGCACGACGGCTTTGCATGTGGAAAGCCATGCGCACGTATCCGATCAACCTGTGATCACGAGTGTCCCAAGCTTTGTGGTGAAGATTGTGGCCCTTGCATGACGAAGATTCAAGACGTGGAGCTTCCTTGTGGTCATATCAAGCAGGCTGTCTTTTGCCATCAGATGCCTAACTTGAAAGACCTTAAGTGCGACGTTAAGGTCGAGAAGACTGTTTCTAAGTGTGGCCATAAAATTCAGGTTGGCTGTTTCAAGGATGTCACGTCCCCGATCTTCCGTTGCCCTGAGCCATGCACCGATATTCTCAGCTGTGGCCACAACTGCAGTGGTTGCTGCGCAAACTGTCTCGAGGAAGTCCATGGCGGAAGAAAAATATTTAAGCACCCGAAGTGCACGAAAAAGTGTGACCGTCCACACAGTGTTTGCAACCATAGGTGTCCCAAGAAATGTCACAATGGGGAAAGCTGCGGTTACTGCGAGGCAAAGTGCGAGGTAAGACTCACTATAATCCATTATCTCCTCATCGTATCGGAAATACTAACCATATTGCAGGTCCGATGCCCACACTCAGCATGCGACTTAACCTGCGGAAAGGCATGTGCACCATGCATCGAGAAATGCACCTGGTCTTGCATCCACCAAGGTTCCTGCTCAATGCCTTGCGCGGCACCATGCAACCGACTTCCTTGCGATAAGCGATGCCCCAAGATTCTCGAATGCGGCCATCAGTGTCCGAGCCTCTGCGGGGAAGATTGTCCAAACAATCTGTGTCAAAAGTGCGGCGACAAGAGAGATGCTCGTGTTGACTTCCTCGAATGGAAAAACTATTCCGAAATCAATCTTGATGAAACTCCAATTATCGTGCTTGGATGCGGCCATTTCTTTACAAGTGAATCGGTTGATGGATTGGTTGGCCTGGATGAAGTATACACGAGGGATAAAGATGGCAAATTCGAAGGCCTCCGAGATGTCTCTTCTTCTCTTGCCAGTGCCATACCCTCGTGCCCGGACTGTAAACAACCCATTCGCCAGTTTGTGACGAAACGTTACAATCGTGTTGTCAACCGTGCTGTCATGGATGAGACTTGTAAGAGGTTCCTTACCAAGGGTCGCACCGACCTTGAAGGCCTTGAATCGCGTTTGAATGACATTGAAGACAAGCTCAACTCTAAGAAAACGTTGTTGCTCGCTGAGGACGCTAAATTACAGCTTAAAGCACGATACGCGGCCTGTGTGCGCCTTGGGACAGAGGCTTCAACTCTCAGCAAAACCATGGAGGCCGAGAATCAGCCGATGAAACGGCTCATGGATGCAATTACCATCTACCAGAAGCCACCAAGGGACGAAATAGCCTCCCTCTCAGTCCGAATGGAGGCGATAAATCTAGGAACACGAGAACCCGACAACCAAATCACTCTCGGCGCACGGCTAATCCACATCAAAGCCCGAGAAGTCGCGTTTAGCCACATCTTTAAAGTGATAGATTCAAGCAAAAATCCTGCAAAACCATGGCTAAATTTCACCGAGCTATCATCAATCTTGACTCAAGTGTTGAAGGATTGCCGAGACTTGATAACTCAGGCGAATGAAGGAAGTCTCTACCGCATCGTCATCACGGCAACCATCTCATTTGCCAAGATCGCCCAGTTGGACGCATGGTATCGCCGCACTAATCCAGGAGATACAACATTGGATCTACATATCAAAGAAAGCTACACCTGTCTAGAAAAGCTTGAAGACCGCACTGAAACCACCCGCGATCTCCTCACCGCCGCGTTAAAACTATGCGATAGACTGGGGAACTGCCCCGAACTCCAAGAACAGGTCCAGGAGATGGTCCGCCTCTACGAGGGACCGCGGTACGAGACAGTGACTTTAGAAGAGCTTCGATCAATCAAGACGGCCATGGTCAGCGGGCGAGGAGGAATCGCGACTCACTCTGGGCACTGGTACAATTGCGTCAATGGACACCCGGTGAGTAAATTTGCCTAATCTCGAACTGTTCCAAGTTACCTTAACGAGACATATAAGCTAAATAAATATTTTCTAGTTTGCTATTGGAGGGTGCGGTATGCCGATGGAGCAAGCTAGATGTCCTGAGTGCGGAGCACCTATTGGAGGTCAAAATCACACGGCTGTTGAGGGCGTATCTCGAGCGCGGGAGATGGAGTAGATGGAAACCATATTGTTTTTCGATTATGGTAGGACGTTCGATGTTTTGTCTTCTTTTTTTTTCTGGGTAGTGCACACGAATCTAGATTCAAATGTTATAAGATAGCCTTTTGCGTCTATATCTTAGCCTAACTTAACTAACCGTGGTAAATTAGTTTTAGCAGGTGATAAAATTAGTTTAGCCAGGGTATAGTTTGATACAGCTTTAAATAACAACCGAACACGATATAGCCGACTAATCTTCTACACAGGGGTTGATAATCGAATTACGCTTCTTGTTCTTCGGGGTAAGGCTATATAATTCCTCTTCGTACGATGTAAAGACTACGTCATTAGCTTTATGTCATTCATGCTAGCGTCGGGCTCCATCATGACGGTAGAGTACGGCTCTGGGGCCGTTTGATCTGTATACGACTTATTCAGGATTTGGTGACTGATCCGACCGCACGTTTTGCATCGTTGATGGCACTGATACAGCCGCACATTACACTGCGCTGAATGGTACATTTTTATGGTGATTGCAATCTTTGTATTGGACTGACCGCCAGAATAACATCGGGTTGCGGAATATGAGCCAGGAAGTGGAATGGAATCCAGTTAGATCGTCCCTACACATCAGGCCAGAGTAAGGTCCCCGCAGTAGCGACTTGTGTGAGTGCTGCAAGGCGGGACATTGCAGTTCATATGTGTAGACATGATAGCGCAAGTTCGAATGGTGAGTTCTACCTGAGCTTCACCCTTCTTACCATAAGAGCTGGCTAACCTTCGCAATGGAATTTCGTTTGCATCTGGCCTGGACATAACAGCTTCGGCACTCTAATTGTCATGGCTGCTAAAAGGTTCTGTCGCCGCATCAGAAGTCGTGAAAGGTAATTCAGAATTTTAGGAACCAGAAAGAAGGGTTGTGCTTATGCGTAAGTACGACAAGCCCTTGGCGTGGCAATATCCTCGAAATAGGCCGAGGCGATTGATGTGCTGCCACGCTTCGTCCAATCAAAGCACGCATCCCTGCCAAACCGGTGGGAAATGTCCAACCAAGCCAAGGCCTGCGGGCTAAAATGCAGTACTGCGGGGTTTCTTTGTTTGCTACGAGACTTCAATCGCTGAGGTAGAGTGCGGGAATGTGAATGGGGCTGGTCTCAAAAACAGGTCGCGGGCTTTCGGTCTCTTTCCATCGCCGAAGCCGCTAATGTGTTCTTTGTCTCGCAAACAAAGAAAACGGGCACCACAAATTGGCCATTTAATCCGGCGCATCACCCACCTCCTTACCATGGACATATGCTCTGAATAATATTTTCCAACGTGTTTGGCTCTCAGTTACCAGTAATGACAAGCAAAATTCCCCTGCGGCCGCTACAACCGATGGAGCAAACCTCTTTCTCCGAACCACAGACACCACTATCATGTGGAAAGCGACAGAATGTCTCTGTTGCTTGTACAGAGTGTCGCGAGAAAAGGACCAAGGTTAGAAACTAATGAATCTGTTCTATCCAAGTGCTAATAGAATCCAGTGTTCTGGTGCGATGCCATGCGCGAAATGTACGGCAAAAGGTTGCCAATGCATATATGATCCCGACAGTGATCGTAGGCGCAAACCTTGCAGCAAGTCGTTGGCTTTGCGTCAAGCCCTGCTCTACACCGTGCTTAAGCTTCGCTCGGGAAACGTGAATGACGTGAGGACATTCCTTTTGAAAATTCGGAGATTGCAAAGCGACGGAGATGCAGAAAATTTCCTCCTTCAGGAGAGCAAGCTGTTTAATCTCGGGTGATAGTTGGACGGAGATGAAAGGATGGTGACGGGCTTGGCATGGGACATGACCACTTGTGCATATTGTCAAACAAGAAACAGAACCAATATAACCCTCTCTAGGCCATAAATAGAGACCATGGTTTGTGTTGTGACCTAGTGGTAATACGCTGTATCATTGCCGTCACATACAGTGACGGTCCATAGGTTTGAGCGCCCCCTTTGGCTACTGCCTTCCTAGAAATTCATACCGCCTACTTAACTAGACTTAAATAGTCACGATCATAATTTTGGGCTTTTGATTGGTGGGATTAGGGCGGGCAGAATAGGTGCTCAAACTTATGGACCGTCACTATACGAGTAATAAATTCATACAGTAAGCTACTGTAGATGTTCTATACAGGAACGCTATTCCGAAGCTATATGGAAGGAGGCTAGCCGATCTTGGCGTCAGGGTTCGGAAAACAATCGAGGAGTGTGTGGGTGGTGACACCAGTTTCGAGACGTCCTATAGTGGGTAGGTAGCGGGAAGAATGGCGGACCCACACGCGGGTGTTCCCCCTCGCTCAACCACGCAGGCGACCGACGCGTTGGAAAACCTTGATTCGACTACCGCGACTCGGACTAGAAGGTAGGCTCGGGTGAGCGATGTTTACTCCACCGCAGCTCGCTTGAACGCCGAGAACACGAGCACCGGAGACAACAATGGACGCGTTACACGGGAAAGCTGGCGGACGATTGACGGCTTGAAAGAAACGATCGCCTACCAAACAGAAGCTTATCCAATCAACCAAAAGCGAATTGCTAGAAGTGAAACACGACCAGAACGTCCTCCACACACAAAACGAGAAACTGCATGAAGAAGTTCGAGCGCTACGGGCGCAAATAGATGCGCTCCCGTCAGCACCCGTGACAAAATCGTGGGCCACAGTAGCAGCGAGCCACCCGCCTCTCCAACCGAACCACCAACGCGCCAACAAGGATCAGAACTGCGTTCGAATCAGCACCTAGCGGTCCTTTATAGACCCGAGAGACAACGATAACAGCGAGCAAAACACCTTTAGACGATATCTCCCAACGGAGACCGCAAACGCCCACATCCGCACGGCGTTATCGAACACAGCGTCCACGCAAGATGCTTAAGTAGCCGTACTGGGCACAACGAAAGCCGGATATATGATCCGGTTCAAGGACTCAGAGTCGGCAGAAGCGGCCCGTACGAGGAAAGCCTACGATCGCGCGGACTAGTATAAGATCGCCGGCGACGTGCTTCGACAAATGGGCCTATAGAAGGTGGTGAAAACGAGACCGGCTCTAGATAAGGTAGTCGAAAGACTGACAGACGCAACTACGACGACAATCAACACATTTGCACCTAACACACGACCGACACTATACTCGAAACGTTGGTTCACCCCACACCTCTCAAGATATAGCAGACCGAGGTCAACTAAATACGCCGTAAGTGGCAAGAAAGCTACACGGAGCGGAGCTCGGGCGACACGACGCCCGCTCTATAACCCTCTTTCAAGAGATGCAACAGACACGACGAATATAGACCCGAACTATCGAGAAGGTCAAAGCGTCACACTAGAAACAATTCTTAGACGAAGCCGGAGAAGGGAAGCTTTGGAAAGCAGCCGCCTACATGAAACCACGAGAGGCCTAGGGGTGTGTGCCGGCCCTACACGTCGGCACCGACGAGCTCATAGAGAATGAAGATAAAGCGCAGGCTTTCCTAGACGCTCTCTTCCTGTAGATGGACGAACCCCACGAGGATTTGCCCACGCGGGTACCTCTAGAACTTCCGTGGCAACCTATCACTAAGCTGAGGTCCAACGATCTTTCAATGTCACAAAAGGATCTACCGCGCCTAGTGAAGACGGCTTGCCGACGCTAGTGTGGAAACAACTATGGCGGCACCTCAAGGTCTATGTCACTGGGATTTTCGCCGCGTCTATTAGCCAGGATACCACCTAAAGCGATAGCGGAGCGCGAAGATTGTGGTGCTACGGAAACCCAAGAAACTAGATTACTCGGTCCACTCTTATATAGAACTGAGCTTCCTACGATCAGGTTGTCGTTGAAAAAGCGATTTTCCATCTTCCTATCGCCGGCGTAGTCGACTCTCGGGGACCGCGAATTCTCGCGTAGTTTTCGAGATATTAGGTTTAGATTGCTTAGAGAGGTGGTCGAGAGCTTTCTCAATCTGAATCTCTATAAATTTATTGCATTTAGGCATAGTGGGTGGGACAGTTTAGGAGTAAAGTAAAAAGGTGGGATTAAAAATAAAAAAATCCGTCGTTCGGGTGATCCCTTTCACTTAGGTGGCGGACCCTCTTAGTTCTTGTGAAAATAGTTCAGGGGCCGGTTATATGATAATGAAGCGTCGTTAATGTTGATCTGACTTCCTGAAGTAGGTCAGCTCTGAAGGTGGGATGTTCATGAGTTTCCTACACGAATCTGTAACTGTTGTCGCGTAGATATTCCTCAACCGGGCTGCTGCTAGAATGCCACGCACCAAATGACCTTGGGCAAGAATTTTGCTGAAATAATATGTTGACGCCTAGGCTCGGGCGATCGTGGCACCGACCCTTCTTGGGCTATGTTCGGATTCTAGACTCGACAGCAAACCTGAAAGGAAGCATCCACTGTTCTGGCCAGGAAAGACTATACTCTTTGCCTTGAGGTCGTGGGACTGGACCTTCCCCCGCGTCTTGACGTTCCACCCCTTATGGGCACAATATTACCGTATTAGGAAGGTTGCGGCGCATTGTGCTGGGAACGGGTGGGGACTGAAAGCTTGGATCCGCAAGCAATTCGCCCACTTGTTACTCAGTGAGGTAAAAAGAGTATCGGGTGGGTGTTCAGGATAAGCCGGCCGATATGTCTCGGGTCACAACCGGGCAAAATTTCCCTAAAGGACGGACCCGAACTTCACCCGATCTCGCGCGGGGGCACTTACTCCGGGCTGTGCGATATGTTCGGTTGACATCAGTCCAGGCAAAGACCCTCTCAACTATGGAAAGGGTCCCATTTATAAACCATTTCTCGCGTCCTGCGTGATTCACTCCGAAAGTGTAGCATAAAGCCACGGGTCCCTACGCTTTGGTCTCCCACCACCATCATCTTCCATCACAATCAATATGGCACCCTCGACTCATTTCAAGCTTAATACCGGTGCCCAGATCCCCACCGTTGGACTTGGTACGATACAAGCGCTGGTTTCTGCGGACCTTAGCGGTCTTTGCTGACAAGAAATACAGGCACTTGGAGATCTGAACCCGGTCAGGTACGCCAAGCAGTCTCGTTCGCCCTCAAGAACGGATATATTCACATTGATGCAGCATTGTAAGATTCCCATATCTCTCTTGTAGCGCATAGTCTTGGCTAATAAATGGCAGGATATACGGTGGGTTGTAACAAAGAAAAACAAGCAAGTTTTTGGGGTCTAATGGGATTGCTAGGAAACGAGTATGAAGTCGGCCAGGGAATCAAGGATAGTGGTGTCCCTCGCGAAAACATTTTCATCACCAGCAAGTTGTGGAACACCCACCAGCCCAATGTCGCGGAAGGTCTCCAACAGACACTTAAGGCTCTAGGCACCGACTACCTCGATCTCTACGTAAATTAACCCTCTTCTCCTTTGGGCAGACGCGGCACACCTGTCGATAACTTGGCTAACACAAACATCAGCTCATTCACTGGCCAGTCCGACTTGTTCCTGTAAGTTGATCTGTTGTTTCCCTCCGTCATGACATATGCATGACTAACCCGTACCCACAGAACGAGTCGAGCGCGCTTCTCCCAGTCAATCCCGATGGCACACGATCTGTCGACCGATCCTGGGACCAAAGTGAGAGCTGGCGCCAGATGGAGGAGGTATACAAGGCCGGCAAAGTGAAGGCGATCGGCGTGGCCAACTGGTCGATTCCCTATCTAGAGGAGCTCAAAAGGAAGTGGACCGTGGTCCCTGCTGTCAACCAAGTCGAGTTACACCCTTTCCTTCCTCAGCACGCACTGAAGGAGTGGTGCGACAAGCATGGCATTCTCCTCGAGGCGTATTCACCACTTGGTTCCGAAGGTAAGTGCTCCTTGACACGCTATGTGGGGTTTCCATGAGGTAATGCTAGCTAACTTGGTCATTTTCAGGAGCTCCGCTCATGTCCGATCCCGCAATTCAGGAGATCGCTAAGAAGAATGGTGTTTCACCCGCCACGGTACTCATCAGCTACCACGTCAACAGAGGCGTTGCTGTACTGCCCAAGTCTATTAAAGAAAATCGAATCGTGAGCAACAGTCAAGTAATCACTCTTTCGCGCGAGGATATGGATGTGCTAAATGGCCTGGCTGCACAAGGAAAGGCGAAGCGTATCAATACGCCTCTGTTTGGATGGGATCTCGGTTTCGATGACTGGTACGAGCGGTGAAGTCGCCAGATTTGGATCTAGAGTCGTACAATCCTCTATGGGAAATGTCACTCTTTATAGACTGAAAAGGAGATTTAGATGTAAATGATGAAATTTGCTGATAGTTAAAACCTGTCATGCCTGAAATAGAATGTAATCCGATCGGGCTTTCCTTTCTCCCACAGCGAGTGATGGAAAAGTATAAAGTAAAGAAGTATGAAACTGACTTCGACCTAAATACCTCACTCGCGCTGAAATGGTAAGAAACCTTTCCCTAGTTTCCCTCTCTACTCCTTTACAATTATCGCAGTTCCTTGGGAAGGATATCATGTCGTTAAGATTTTTCAATCCAAATGATGAACTGCGATCACTGCGATCCTCCGATTCCCCAGAAACATCCCAGGGTATTTCGCCTGCACTTTCATATTTGTTTCTTAATTGCAAAATCTAGCAAGTAGATGAACAAAAACTCGGTCTTTTTAGTGTACGACCTATTTCATCTATGAAATCTAGACTTTGTAAGGAGGTGGGGAAATGCCCTCCTTTAGAGCTTTCAGTCGCAAAGCCAATAATTTGGAGGCATACCGGGTCATTGGAAGGAAACCAACCATGA